CGTGGCCTTGGTGTTATCAGCACCGCACTCTCCCGAGTGAGCCACGGGCCGGCCCAACTTAAAATTTTATTTAAAGGCAGTTGATTCAGGCCTGACTTGGACCCCATTAACTTAATGGGGTCAGTGGCTCAGCTCGATCCTAACAGTTCCCCATTACTATTTCTCAAAACTCGGGTCATAAATGGTTTTACATGGGTGGTGTCAATGCTGTTTAAAATCACTGAAGCCTGAGTTGAGCCTGACAATACAGGAGAACAAACTTAAAGGCAAGGACAGTTTAAACCCCAACAGTTCTAAGTACTGGATAAGACATGACAGTCAGGACTTTAGGTCTTCTCAGTCACCAAAGCCACATGACCAGTGGGACAGGGCCCTGCTACCTTGATTTTGCTTCCACCAAAGTCTAAACATCAGAATCTTTTCACTACTTAAAAATCTTGATAAAGCAACTGATGAAAACTTCAAGAAGGAAACGGAACATCCCTAAATCCAACAATGGCTTGTTTACATCCAATAAACTTAGGTCTCCAGAGAAGCCATCTTTTTTTGTTGCATCATTCCGTTTGGCTCTGAAAAGGGACAGAGCCTCCTCTCAGCCGAAGCTCCATTCACAGTACCCCAGTCTTTGCTTTTTCTTCTAAACAGACTCACCCTTGCACATAGTTGCTGCTTTAATGAAGACTGTAACAAAGCAGGATTGTCACCAAGGTCCATGTTGACACGAGAGTCTTTAGATGAAACTTGTTCCCTAACTTGCTCCTTTCTTCTCCCATTCCTAGGGTACCATTCAAATACCAGCACCCACCCCACCCCCCAAAAAAAGAAAGTTATTCTCTGTAGCAACCTTTATATACACAGAAAAAATGTAAGAAAAAATATTTTTACCATAGAAGCAGGTAGGAAAAGAGATGGCAAATATGTTTCAAACCCTGTGTGTTCATGGCTGCTTGGAGCACCTCTTAAGAGATTTTGAGGCTGTGGCATAGCAGAGTGCTGCGAGCGATTAGTGATGTCTGCCATGGCAGTGGGGGAGCAGTAGCTCACAGACTCATGTGGATTTAATAGCCATTGGTGTGGGTGCCTCCAAATATCTCCAGCAGTTAAGCAGGATAAGAATAAAGAGCAGAGTTTGCCAAAAACAAAGGCAGCTCTAGGCATGTTCTTTATTTTACAAATGAGTAAAGGATTAATAACACTTTTTGTCTAGCCCTTGGGGAGAAAAACCCAGTCATAACATCCATCCTCGTTTATGCCTTGCTGAGCCTGTCACCACTAGCCGGCGGGCACTCCGGGCAAACCACATCACCTGTCTGAATCTGTTTCTTTAGTTTTAGTGGTAGAAGTCCTTTGGAGTCACCGACTTTTTGGTTTGAAAACTCTTCAATCTGAATCTGTCCCTGAGCTGCAGCCATCCCCCCGGAATATACTGATAACTGAGTGGAAGGTAGGTCAAGGATCTCAGGTCCTCGGGCTTGTTGGTAAGGACACTTGAACTAAGTGCACATGCCTTTCTGGTTGGTCAGTGCCAAGACTGAGCCACAGGCACAACAAAGCTGGAGCCTCTGCCACTTCCTGCTGAGAGCACAACCCTCGCTCAGAGCTGGCGCTCAAAGCCACAAAGTGCCACCTGAGTCAGGAGAGGGGCCTCACCTTAGCAACCCTTCTGCAGGCCCTGAAGGAGGTGGGGAGTGGCCACTTACCTTGGCTTTCTGGAGGACAGTGCCTTTGCCTGTGACCATGACTGAGAGAGGCCTGTTCTTGAGTGCAGTTGCGGAGTTGACTGGGGTGCACTCTGGGGCAGGGGTGGGGGAGGCAGCTTTGGGCTGTGGTTACAGGAGGAGAGCAAAGACTGAGTCCAGGGGAAGGGAGACATGACCCACACCCCACCCTGTGTCCAGGAGGCCCTGCAAGCAGCTCAGAGGAGCCACGGTGCGCTGCACTCACACGGGGGCTCATGTTCTCCAGGTGGGTGGTGTCCACGGTGGTGCCCAGCGTCACAGGTCCCGCCTCGGCCTTCTTTAGGTTGTCTTTCACCTCCATGATGTTGAGCTCGAGGTCCACACGCCTGCTCTCCTCGAGTCGGCACTCCTCGTCAATTTCCTTCAGCTTCTGCTCCAGGCTGGCCAGGACTCCCTTGTCTGGAGAGAGAGTGAACCCAGCTGCAGAGAACAGCATTTCAGCCGAGACCTGGATATGCACCCCTCCCCCAACCCAGCTGCAGGACCCCAGGTGGACGTGGAGCACAGGTCTGACTCTGACAGTCAGAGCCGGGATGGACCTCTCTGTGTGCAGTGGGTAGACTCAGAGCCCAAGTGCTGCGTTAGCATTCTGCAAAGGCTGGGAAGGCTCTGGAGGAAGAGAGGTCTACCTTTGTGACAGGGCAAGAGTTTGAGGGCTAAGTCCCTTCTGTAGGTTCTCAGAAGCTCTAAGTTGTTTTAGTATGTGCTTTTGTTACAGCAGCCCCAAAGGGTGAGAGAAGCTTGATTAATGATCCTTGGAGGATGGCTGGGCTATTTTGACCTGCCGCATAGTTCCCTTAACCTCTGGCACTTGGTGCTTCCTGACGGATCAGGGGTCCTCAGTCCTGGCACCTTCTCAGCCCACTTTTGTGCTGCTCTTCTTAACCCTGGGGTTCTTAGCTTGATACTGCAGCCCCAAGACACGATGACCTGTGGCAGCCCATCCTAGCTAGAGGAGAGGATGGTAACACTTGTGCTCAACTTCGAGTCCTGAAACATATGTGCTGTTTCCAAGCTCTATGGTAAATAATCACCTGTCAGCCCTCGGCAGAGGACGAGCAGTCACAGGGACCACTGTTTAAGAAAAATTCATGAGGAAAAGAAAGTTGAGTAAATGTGTTAATATTTTCGAGATCAGAGTTTTAAAAATACAGTTCATATTTAGTGGTCGATATCAATTCTTTGAGAATCACTTTCTTATGATCTGTGACTTATCAACCCGGGATCTACAGGGCTTATTTACCAGGAGAACAAACCGTCATGAAAATTCTCTCTTCTCCCACCTAGTCTATCCACGCAGGAGGGAAAGGGCTGGGCATCCCTGGCTCCTTCCTCGTGGCCCCAGCTCAATACTTTCTCAGGCTTTTCAAGGGCTGTCATAGGTGAGCCTCTGGTCACATTTATCAGCGCGTGTCCCAGTCTCTAGTCTGGGCTGGGTGGAAAGGAAGCCCAGCTCCTGTCTCCTCACCTCTGTGCACTGACAAGATCCAAGACTGCTGAACTCTCAAAACCAGAGGGTGCACAATTATAGAGACAGAAAGCAGAATAGTGGTTGCCTGGGGATAGGAGGTTTGGGGGGAAATGGGGAGTGACTGCAAATGGGTAATGGGCTTTCTTTGGGGTTCTAAAATTGTGATGATGGTGGCATAACTGTGAATATACTAAAAACCATTGATTTGTACACTTTAAAAGTGTCAATAACATAATATGTGGACCATACCTCAGTAAAGCTGTTGTTAAAAAAAAAAAAAGGTGACTCTGTCCCCACAGACCTTCCTTTACCAATCATGTTATAAGCTTCCCAGGAATCAGCTGACTCTGTCCCCAAACCTGCTATGCCAGTTGTGCCTGGCAGTACAACTCTGCAGTTTAAATATTAAATGAGCACAAAGTTGCTCTGTGAAAACAGTCAGATCCTTCAGAAAGGTTCTATAAGAGGTTAAGTTGCTAGGAAACCTCTGTTGAATGATATGAGGATGGTTTGGAAAATCATCTAGAAAGACTTGATTTCTTTGCAAGTGTCTTAAGTTTTTGTTCACTTTAAAGACATGAAGCCTGGAAATGAAGGCGGATGCGTTACAGGTGTGGTTACTACAAGCAGGATGCTGTGGGCCTCCGCTCAGCTGACCCAGATCTCAAAAACCCTGTACTGCCCGGCTGTAGCACAACATCAAAAGGTGGCCAAGGAATATATACCTGTGAAAATAAAACATTTTAGGCCTAAACATATAACTTGTAAGGACTTCCTCCTTTAACTAGCTTTTTCAACCACCTGCTGCTCCTGTTGAAAGCCAGGGGGCCTCTCTGTGCTGACCTTTCAGACACTCAGCCATGCCAAAGGCTGTGGGGGCAAGGCTCATGGGTCTAGAAGCCAGGTGACGGGTTCGGATTCTGCCCCCGAGCCCTCCCCCGAGAGCCCCTTACCTGTGCACTTTAACAGGGTATCTTTCAGCTCGCGTTTCTCTTTCCGGAGCTGAGCCAGGTGCCCCCGGATTTCTTCCTTCTTCTTCTCAAGCCTCTCCTTCTCCTCTGTGTACCGCTTCACCTCCGCTTCTGTCCGATTCTTGCCAAGTCTGATCTCTACAGACCCAGAGAGGGGAAGCCCTAGGTCAGCCGGGCTGGAACATGGGGGTGGTCCCCAACCCACTCTCCAGGCTCAGACAGAAGCCGGGGCTTTGGAAGAAGATCAGAGCTGGATGCCAGGCCGGACTAGCAGGGACAGGAAAGGAAACTGAGCCCACACCTTTGCTTTGTGACCTCGAGCAAGTCCCTTCACCTCTCTGAACCTCTTGTTTCCTCATCTGAAAAGGAGGGAATTGAACTAGCTCCTCTAAGCCATGTCAAAAATGTTAGGCTCTTATCTAGCACAAGCACCTGCGGTGGCTGCCCTCAGCCTGTCCTTCACCGGTGGGCTGGCGCCAGCTGGAATGACAACCACAGTGTCGGGGCAGCTCGGTGGGAAGGAGATTTTCTGTTGTTCAGTCTGGATTTTGACTGTGGCGATTCTCAGGGAAGGCTCCTCAGGATCCGGACTCTCCAGCTGCCTCTGCTTTGGGAGAAAGCAAACAACTCAGCCAGCTGGAGGGACCTGGGAAGGTGGTCTGGCTCCCCTGCTGGTGGATGGCTTTTACCTGCTCCTCCAGGTTCTCTGGAGGCTTTACACAGGGCTCAACTGGGGCAGGACATGGGCCCGGGTCCGGGTCTGCAGGAAGCGCCTCAGCCAGACTGTCCAGGTGGGGCAATGTGGGGGAGGAGGCCTCGGCCTGTGCACTGGGGCTGTGTAGGAAGGACTTGACGGGCGTGAGATCCAGGTACACCCGGTCAGGGTCGCTTTTGCTCAGGGCATCTGCAGCAGGGCTGGCTTCCTCGACGGGCTCCACCTGCAGAAGAGTCAGATGTCGTTCACCCTTACCTCCACTCTCTTGACTGTAGTGGGGACACCAGATCTGCCTCAGAGCTCCTGTCTCCATCCCAGGTTGTAGTTTGCAGGGACCTCCCTCCCTCCTGGGGGAGCCATCTATTGAGTCCTGGATATGCCACTCAAGAGGTAGAAGAAAAAACTTTTTAAAAAAGTTTTAAATAATGACAAAATAAAAAAGAGGTGGAAGACCCAGGACATACACTTAATTCCCTGAACTCTGGGGGAGCCATCTATTGAGTCCTGGATATGCCACTCAAGAGGTAGAAGAAAAAACTTTTTTTAAAAGTTTTAAATAATGACAAAATAAAAAAGAGGTGGAAGACCCAGGACATACACTTAATTCCCTGAACCTTATTTCCTCTTATCTGTAAAGAGAGGAAAACAGCAGACCTTCTAGAAGGTGATTAGGATTAAATGAGATCATCTACATGAAGCCCTTTTCACAGCACCAAGTTCAATGCCCAGTCCATGGCACCTGCCATCAGTATGGTCGTTCCACCACAAGTAGCAATCTGGACCTCAAAAGCTAATGGCGTCATTGCTCCCAATCCCAACACCACACCCCCCACCTCTAGCACTGGCCAGGGTGGTTAACCAGCTGTTTTATCTAGATAAGCCCCTAAGGCAGATGAACTGCGCAGCCTCCAGTGCAAAAGACAACCTTGTGGCAGCTAGGTTCTGCACTGATGGCCCTGTAGTGACTCAGAACCCACTCATCTCAGGCACAATCTAACCACCTCTGGTGTCGAGGCACTGAGGTTTGGCAGGAGGATGACTGGATGCCCCAGGTCCTTACCGCTGCCGTCAGCTCTGACAGCTCCACATCATCGTACAGCTCCTCCTGGCGGTCCTGGCTGGGCAGGCCGTCAATGTACGTGTTGGGCTCTGAGAACTTCCTCTGCATCAACCTGGAAGACAGGGCAAGATACAGCGTGCATGGAGTCTCCAGGATGGGGTAGTGAGAGCACCAGCCTCCGAGGTTCACAAGGACCAGAGGCACAGGAGATCTGGGACCAACACCCACCTCCATGCATCAGGGGACCCCCTCTCTCTTCTCCCAGCACCTTCATCCTGGAACTCTTGGTTCCAGGTTTTCCTCCCAGAAAAGCAAAGTGCCCTTGTCCCACACCCCTCCTCTTAGGATCCTTTTGCTATCTTCCCCTTATTCCTCCCTTTTAGGAAGTCCTTCCGACAAGAACTACAATGTTTTCATTTCATCTGCACAGTACACCTTGGGCAGCGCAGGCCGGGCTATCCTCGTTTGCACATAAGAGAACAGATTCCATTTCAGGGGCTCGGCGGGCTCTACCACCCGACCTGGGAACGCTTCTCCCTGAGCCCATGTGCTCATTTGGAGAGCAGAGGCAGCAGCCCCTGCCCTGCTTATTCCAGATCGACAGGAGGGACAAACGGAAGGTCAGGAAGGTGCTGCCTCTGCCCTAAGGAGCGGGAGGTTCCTGGCGCTCAGCGAGGCCTCCCGGGGCTGCTCCTCCGCCTCCACTTGCATCATCCTGCTGTGCATGGAGCAGCCAAGCCCCGTGCTCGCAGCTGGCCCTGCTCCGGCTGGCTGCCAGGGCCAGCCTGAGCCCAGGATCTAGAAGCACAGCTGGGAACGGGAGGGTACACAGTGGAAGTCCCCTCAGTACTCACAGGAGAGAGTTTTTGGCTGCACTCACAATACAGGAAACCCTGTCGGCATCCACGTAGTCGTAGGTGAACTCTTCTGGGTCTGTCTTAGAGCCTGACTCAGAGAGCAGGAGGCCCAGCCAGTGGCCCATTTCCTCGGAAGACTTGGCCTGGAAGGAGGCCCACAGGGATGGGAGCTGGAGCGTGCTGACTGGCGCCAGCCCCTCCCCACCAGGCCACAGCAGCACCCCTGCCCTGATCCCTGATCCACACCCGGCAAGCCTGAGACAGCCTGGGGCCATGCTCTCTCATTGTCACCAGCACTCCCCATCCCCCAGTGTCCCCAAATAACATTTCTTGTCAATGACATCTTGATGCCACCTCAGTGATACTGTAGGCCTTTGTCCCAAGTGTCACATGTGATTTATGTACACATATTCTAGGTGATAACTTGTCACCAGGTGATAACTATTAAAAATTTATTAAAACTTATTAAAACTAATAGTTATCATCTGTAAATAGTTACTAAAATTAATTATTAGAAAATTGTAGGTATCTTAGACTGGCACCTCTATTTTATGAGCTATCCCATGTCAGTTTATCACCCTAGTCCCATACATACAAGACTACCTGGATCCCTAAGAAATAACATTCAAATTTATTTTTGTTTATGGCTTCAGTAGTCAACATGTCTTAAATATACCAGCTCAACTAGCCTACTAAATCATGAACTAAAACCCAGTGAATAGGATTCAAGTGAACAAATCCCTCGTTTTTTTTTTCTAGGGGACAATACATTCTAATCAAATACATACATTGGGCATGTCTATTAAAATGCCAACATTGTTTCTTGCCTTTATAAAGAGAAAAAACTGGGAGTTCTAGAAAAACTACTGGTTTGTTATCATGAGGAAAAACAGTTCTCACTTTGGCATGATACCACCTGGCTCTCTCACCTGTA